GGCAAGGTTAATACAATAAAATAAAAACTGCAGACCAATCTCACTCATGCACATAGATGCAAAAATCCTAAACAAAATGTCATTAAGCCAAATCCATCTGTTTATTTTAAAAAATTGGTTTCATCTCAGAAATGCAGGGATGATTTAACACTTGATAATCCATACATATAATTTACTTCACTGGTAGATTTAAGGACAAAAACCATAGAAGTAGAACACTCGTTTATAATTAACATAAAACAGAAACATCTTGGAAACCAGGATTAGAGGGGAACTTTCAAAGCATTAGAAAAACTCCATTTAAAATCAGTAGTAAGACTGTGTGTGAGTGTGTACGTGTTGTGTGCTTGTGTGTTTGCTATTGTTTCTATTCTGCATTTCACTGGAATTCCTACCCGGTCCACTAAGACAAGAAATAGAAATAAACGGTGTGAGAATTAGAAAGAAGGAACAATATCATTTAAAGATGATATATCTACAGAGAAAACCCAAAGGCATCTCTAGGTAAGTTATTACAAATAATTCGAGAGTTTAACAAGATTATTGGGTTTAAGATCAATATGTAAAAATCAGTTGCTTTTCTCTCTACCAGCAAAAATTAGAAAACACACACAAGGTGACATTTAAAGCAGCAATAAAAATGATAAGGCACTTAGGAATGAATCCAACAGAAAGTGTGCAACACCTATATGAAAGCATTTATGGAACTTTATTGAAAAGGACCTAAACAAATCAAAAGATTTATTTATAGACAGGAGACTCAAGATCAGAAATATGTCATTTCTCCCCAGGTTGTTCTATAGATAGATCCATTGCAGTTCCCATGAAAATCCTAACAGTTTTGGATGAATTTGAAAAGCTAATTCTGAAATTCAAGACCAAAAAACCAAGAATAATGAAGACATTCCTGAAGAAAGAGGAGGAGAGGGAAGAGGAGAAAAAAAGATGGGAGCTTCTCTTACAATGTGGCAAGATTACTATGAAGCTATCATAACTGAAACACAGCAGTTTTAATGCAGTACAGACAAATTGACGAATAGACCCAAAGAGAAAGCCCAAAAACGGATGCACACCAAATAGAAATCAGATATGTGACAAAGGTGGTAGAGCACATCATGAGGAAAAGGGGAGGCAGTCCGCCACTGAAACCAGGTTACAGTACCAGGTATCAGCATGGGAGAAAGTAAAACTAGACTCCTACCTCACACCATACACAAGCATCAGTTCCGGATGTCAAGTAGATTTAAATGTAAAAGACAAACCTTTAGGGTTTTAGAAGAAAACTCTGACCTCAGGGTGAAAAAAGATGTCTTAAGACACAAAAATCACAGCATTCAATTATGTTAGAATTAAGAAATTATGTTCAACAGAAGACAATTTTTAAAAGTGAAAAAATAAGCCACCAACTGGAAGGAGATATTTGCCATACTTAATGACAAAGGTTTAGTATTCAGAATAAGAAATTAACAACAAAAATAATGTCAACTCACTTGAAAATGGGCAAACGACATGAAAAACATATCATTGATGAAGAAACAGGAATGACAAACATGGAGCCCAACTCTATTACAATTTAATCACATTAAAACCATCTTTTACCTCTAGATTGGCAAAAATGAAAATATCTGACAACAGAAAATATCCACAACAGGTTGTAGAGCTATGGGGACAGTGATATGCAGCTGGTAGGATATTATCATGGAGATGACTGCTGTGGAGGACAATTTTAAATCATTGTGTAAAGTGGATAGTTTGTATACTATACAACCCAATGAATGACTTCAGTCCTAGGCTTATGTCTAGGACGTAACTATTCAAACTGCCAAGTGTGACCCATTAAGGAGCCTTGAAATATTTTTTGTAAAGAAACAGAATAAAATAGAAAATAAAGTATCTCATTCATACTAAGTATTATTTTGTGATAATTGCTTCTGGTACACATGAATATGTGTTAGTGCTGGGTTGCAATGTAGAATGTATTTCTTACAGGAGTGGTGATCAAAGAATCGAAAAACTGTTTCCTCAGAATTCTTGCATGTGTGCCCTGAGCAGTATACACAAAAATGTCCACAACTCCATTGTTTGCAATAGCATAAAATTGAGGGGAAATAAACCACACATCCATTGGCAGGAGACTAGAGCGATACATGATCATTTACCTGCACAATGGAATATTACACCACACTGAAAATGAATGCACTATAGCTAAATGTAACAGTGTCAGTGACCCATAGAAGCATAATGTTGAACAGAAAAAGCAAGTTTCAAAAGACTGTAAACATGATATCATAATTATGAAGTTCAAAAAAGCTACACTAAACAACGTAATATTTAGATATATGTATGTATTAAATATATTTTTAAAACGAAGAGCAAGGTGAATAACCATACAGTGGAATATCATTCAGCCATAAAGAGAAATAAAATACAAATACATGCTACAATGTAGATGAACCTGACAACATTCTGCTAACTTGAAAGCCAGACACGGAAGTCCATGTATTTTATTATTTCATTTATCTGAAATGTCCAGAATGGGCAAACCCATTGAGACAAAAAGTAGATGAATGGTATCAGGGTCGAAGGGAAGGGGAGTCGGGGGTGACTGCCAATGGATACAAGTTTCTTCTTGGGATGATGAAATGTCTTGGAACCCAAGATTGGTAACGAACGCACAACTTTGCGAATGTTCTAAAAATCACTGAATTGTACAGTTTAAAATGGCAAACTTCCTGGTGTGTGAATTGTATATTTTAAATTGTGAAAAGAACACTTACTATGAGATCTACCCTCTTAACATATCTTGAAGTATGCAATTCAATATTGTTAATTATGCTGTACAGTGTTATACAGCAGATCTGTAGCACTTACTCATTTTGCATAACTGAAATTTTATATCTGTTGACTGGCAACTTTTTAAAAGAAGAGCAAGGGAATGATTAAAAATACATATTTTTAGCCAGGCGTGGTGGCTCATGCCTGTAATTCCAGCACTTTGGGAGGCTGAGGTGGGTGGATCTCCTGAGGTCAGAAGTTCAAGCCTGACCAACATGGTGAAACCCTGTCTCTACTAAAAACACAAAAAATTAGCTGGGTGTGATGGTATGTGCCTGTAATCCCAACTCCTTGGGAGGCAGAGGCATGAGAATTGTTTGAACCCAGGAGGTGGAAGTTGTAGTGAGCCGAGATCGCACCATTGCATTCTAGCCTGGGCGACAGAGGGATACTCAGTCTCAAAATAAACAAAATAAATAAATAAATACATAAATAAAATTAAAAAAATATATTTTCGGGATACTGGCCACCTCTGGGAGAGAGGCAGGGGGATGGGGTGGAGGGAAATAGAGGTCACTGCAGCAGTCTTTGTAAAGCTCCATTTCCTAAGCTGCTGGTTATTGGTGTTTCCATTATTACTATGCCTCATTATATGTGTGTGTTACATATATTTTTATACATATAAAATACAGTGTAGCATTCAAAGGAAATACAAATGTGAAATGAGATAGCATTAAAAGCAAATTACCGCCTTTTCATAAAGGCTTTTTGAATCAAGGTTTGGGCCTTGACGTGGCTATGGATGCAGTCATTCTGACCCCTGGTGGCCGAGAGGTGAAGTGCAGTGGTGGCTGCTTGCTCAAGGCCAGGGGGAGGTAGGTAGTGACCGTGCTGGGGGCAATCAGGGTCCTGGACTGGGTGGATGTCCAGGGGTTCAGGCCACTGCCGGTTTCACCCCACATGGAAAACAGACCCAGCCTTGGGAATTCCTGGTTCAGCAAAAGCCTCTCTCTCCTCTCTGGCTCTTAACCATGCTCCTGAAGTGTGTCCTGCCATTGAAATCTATCCCTGGGTGCCACCTCTTGGCCCTGCCTCCTGCTTCCACCAGGATAGCCCACCTGGGGCCATCCACCCAGAGACCAGGACTGATGAGCTCCTGAGCAGAGATCTCGGCATCCTCTGGGGAAGCAGAGGCTGGGGTGCTGAGGCTTATAGAACCAGCCTTCAAACTCCTTTTATTGAATCAAACCATCTTTCTGGAGGATTCTGAACCAAAGCCTGTGGGAAGAGCTGACTTGGGCACTTTTGAGGTGTGATGTGAGGGGTACCTGAAGGAGGGCTGTCAGTGCTTAAGGGCCCAGGAAACCGCAAGTCTCCTCCCCACCTAGCTGGCTAGACTAGAGGGACATTGGTTTACTGGCCCCATTTAATCTGATATTAAGAGACATTTCTGACAGGGTATTGGCTGTCAGAATGAACTAGAGATGGCGACAGAAGGCCTTAATGAAATAAAGATGGCCACAGAAGGGTGGCCTGTAGAGAAGGACACAGATGAGATACCAAAGTCACGTCCCACAGGCAGTGTGGTGGAGGAGTTACTATGCTGGGTTAGGATCTAGTCCCTGCTACTCACTCTGGTGCCTGTCAGCCTCATTAAGCTTCAGGTTCTCAGCCTGCATTAGTTGTAGTGATTGCTAATTGTACTAACTCAATTGTGCCAATTGAATTAATAGATGCAGAGCATTCTCTAAGAGTCCAAGAAATGTCAACTGGTGGTGGCTCACGCCTGTAATCCCAGCACTTTGGGAGGCTGAGGCAGGTGGACCACGTGAGGTCAGGAGTTCGAGACCAGTCTGGCCAACATGATGAAACCCCGTCTCTACTAAAAATACCAAAAATTAGCCTGGCATGGTGGCACATGCCTCTAATGCCAGCTACTCAGGAGGCTAAGGCAGGAGAATCGCCCGAACCTGGGAGGCGGAGGTTGCAGTGAGCCAAGATCGAGCCACTGCACTCCAGCCTGGGCAAGAGAGTGAGACTGTCTCAAAAAAAAAAAAAAAAAAAAAAAGTCACCTGCTTGTGCTTAGGTTGTTTGAACCCTCGTCAAGTCATGAGTGCAGAGTAAAGCTGGGGATTTGACTTGGTCCCTGGTCAGGCTGATGCCTGAAGCTGATGAATGGAGGCTTCTTAGCTGGAGAATCATTTTTTCCTCCCTCTGTCCCCAGACGCCATGGAGTTGGTGCTGGTCTTCCTCTGCAGCCTGCTGGCCCCCATGGTCCTGGCCAGTGGTAAGTACCCCTCTGGGACCTGGCTGTGACAAGATGATAATCCTGTCCAGCCCTCTCTACTGGAAGGTTCTGGGCCCCCTTGGAACATTAGGGCTGGGGGACTCTCAGGTTCTTCATGTCTGGTCAGGGACCTCTCCCTTCAGTCAGCAGAGGAAGTCGTGGAGGCAGCAGCTATTTATTCACAGACCTCAACACAGCCTGCCCCCTTGCCCCCTAAGGGTCCCGCAGGGCATGGTGTTTAAGCCCCGCCAGCTCACCGGGCCTCTGTGGTCTTGTGGCCTGAATCCTGGGAGTCAGACCTGCACGTCAGTCTCTAGACCATAATTAGCCAGTGTTGGCCTCATGCAAGTCACACGTCCTTCCTTGGTCTCAGTTTCTCCGTATGTCACAAGAGGAAAATTGACCCTGCCTTCTGGGGATGATGTAAGAATAAAAAGGGGCAATGAATGTGGATGTTGCATGACTCGGAGCCTCACTGAGGCTCAATGCCTTCATTGCCCTTGGCCCTCAGGTTCCCCTAACCCCCTAACTGGCAGGCCTGCCCTACTGTGCACTTCTAGGCATCTCTGCTTAATGGGCCTTGCTTCTCCGGAATCCCTTTGTGAAGATGGAGGTCTGTGAGGCAAGGTTAGCTATTTGGGAGCCGGGTTGTGTAGCTTTCTTTCTCTTGACCAACTGTTTGTTTTTGCAGCAGCTGAGAAGGAGAAGGAAATGGACCCTTTTCATTATGGTGAGCAGTGGGGACCCTGGGTGCAGGGGTCAGGGGGATGCAGCCCTGCCTGGCAGGAGGGATGGGGGGAACAGACACCGTCTCCCTGGCCCCTTCCTCTCTCACCCTTGGTTCCTTTGGCAGATTACCAGACCCTGAGGATTGGGGGACTGGTGTTCGCTGTGGTCCTTTTCTCGGTTGGGATCCTCCTTATCCTAAGTAAGTTGGTTCTTTTGCTCACTCTGTAAGAGCAATGACTGAGGCTGCTAAGCAGGTGGGGGCAGTGTGAGAGCCTGGTTGGTCCGTCTCCTGGAGAGGAAAGGAGGCTGCCTGTCCTCCATGTTATCTTCACGACCCAATAGAGTGTACTGGGCACATAGTAAGTGCTCAGTGAAACACTGAAGCGGGAACAAAGAAAATGTCATATGACCATGAGCACAGCTGTGTCTATAGGGCATGAGTGGGGCAGTCATGGAGGAAGGAGACAGGCACTGCCCTAGTGTGCGAGGGATGTGCCCCTGAGTTTGTTGTTCCCACGTGAGCCTGATCTGCACAGATCCCTCTTGACTCACATGATCAAGAGGGCTGTGGGAGTGTAGCCATTCCAGCTGTGGAATGTATTTCCTTTGCCCCAGAAGAAGCTACCCCATCTGAGGGCCACGGTGTGCAGCTGTGCAAACTGTGCACTGCGCAGGTCTAGGGGGTGCCGTTTACATAGTCCCACAACCTGCACAGACCCTTGGCCCTGCTATGGCCAAGCCAGGAGCATGACCTTGGATGGTTTCTTTGCTTTTCAGGTCGCAGGTGCAAGTGCAGTTTCAATCAGAAGCCCCGGTAAGGATGCTGTGGCAGTGGACATTGGGGGTGATACTAGGTGGGACAGGAAGGGACCCCTGGTGTGTGACCCCCCAAATGGGCATTCTCTTGGATTCTTGTCTCAGAGGCAGAATGTGTGTGTTGGGGCATAGGGCTGGGAGTTTGGGGACTGCCAGGTAGACTCTGGGGCAAAGGAGAGGTCCAAACATTGACGGTCAGCCCATCCTGTCTCTTCTGATATATGTGGGGGAGGGGAAGTGGACAAGAAAGTACTGGAACCTTTTCTGGAGGCCCTTGGGACAGTTGAGCTTGGGAGAAGGGAAGCAGAGGGCTTCCTGGCCTCTCTTGGTGCCCAGGTCCTCTCTACAGGACCTGCGACACAGTCCCCGCTTGTCACCTGTTCATGAGGCTCTTTGAGCTGAACAGACACTTGGACCTTCTTTCTACTCCCACACAGAGGTCATACCCCATTAATTTACTACAATAGCCAAGGGTAGCTTGGACCCCAGAAGTCCAAAGCCTGTGACAGGACACACCCAAGGCCCCATGTGGCCTTAGGCTCCCCTTCCCGTGACTTGGTAGAAGTCAAGGGCTGACATTGAAGGGTGCCTGTAAGTTCCCTCCGAGTCTGATCCTTCAGTCCAGACCTCTCCCTCTGCCCCATGCACCCCACAGCAGAGTGAGCTCCAGCCCCTCAGGGCACTGGGAGGAGCCTGACCACAGGCGGCTGTGCCCCAGTGAGGAGCAGAGTGACGCTCTCTGGGTCTGCCCTGGAGATCTCTGACAGGGCTGTGCTTCTCCTTCTCCTGCAGGGCCCCAGGAGACGAGGAAGCCCAGGTGGAGAACCTCATCACCGCCAATGGTAACTGTCCGTGACCACCTGCCCAGATGGAAAAGAGGGAACAGAGGGACCCCTCTGTGGCCCAGGAAGGGACTGTTGCCAGGTGCATGGCCTCGCTAGAGTCAGCCAGACATGCTCCCGCAGTGCCAGGAGAGGGGGTCTCCAGGGCCTCTGCAGCATTGCCCCCTCACTCCACCAAACAGGCTACTACTAGTGTCACCTGCTATTTACAGAGCATCTGCTTGTGCCAGGCACAGACCCCATATCATTTAATGTGCACACAGCCCCGTGAGATAGGCATCACTGTCCTCATTTTATAACCGAGGGACTCAGAGAGGTTACCAGGTTCCTGTAAGCAGCAAGTAGCAGGGCCAGGATTCACCCTAGATCGTTCTCACTCAAAATCCCATGGCTGTCACCTCTTTGCTCCTCCAGAGTCAGGCATAGACACGGCTGCTGTTGGGGGTGGCCCACTGGGGTGAGGAGTCTATATACTATCATCCATTCTGATTTTCTTTCCAGCAACAGAGCCCCAGAAAGCAGAGAACTGAAGTGCAGCCGTCAGGTGGAAGGTGAGATGCTCACTGCCTGGATCGGCCCCTGTCACCATCACCGTCTGCATCAGGGCCTGGACAGGAGTTCAGGCAGGAAGGATGGGGCTAGCTTTTGCAGTGGGCACAGCTTTTACTATGGGCCCTGCCCTGAGGAGCCTTCAGGAGTCTGAAAGGGGCTGTGAGAGAGACCAGGACCAGAAACACCCAAGGTGTCCCACACATGTGCATGCAAACACCAGGAAACGGGGCTTCCACACAGCCCAAAGGCCGAGCGCATAGGGCATCATCCCAGCTGCCACATGGGGAGAATTAAGAGTTAGTGAAATGCTGCTAATCACAAAGTGGCATAAAGATAACGGCTTTCCGTGCTGATTCAGAAAGTACTTTAGAGCCACTTTTTTTTTTAAAACACCGTATTATGAAACTTCCCAACCCCACCCAAAAGTAGAGCAAATAATATATGATCCTTCCCTCTCCACATTTAGGGGCACTGATTTTAGCATCTACTTCCATTGTTCATCGTAGGGGTCACAGGAGAGTAGTAACTGGCAAATGCTGTACGGTTTTCAGAGTGCAGCCACACACACAGACTCACTCGAGTCTGCCAGAAACAGAGGATGGGACAAGTGGGGTTTAGCCCATTTTATAGATGAAACCAATGTCAGAGGGAACAGCCCCATGGAGAGTGACAGACCGGACTGTGAACTCAGGCCTTCGTGGCTGTAGTTCAGCGCCACTGCTCCCCTCCGTCCTGTGCGTCTTGCTTTATGACATGCCCTGGAATATCCTAAGGGAAAAGGTTTGTCTTTTGTCAGCTCACTTCTGCCTTTTTTCCCCCCAGTACAAATAAGGCATCATAGAAAGGTATATAAGTTTATCTTAGATTGTAAGTTAAAAGAGGTTTCTGGATGATGAAGTGCCCGACGCTCCAGCTTCTACTGTGGTCGTAACAGTGCAGTGCCTGTGCAGCATTTAAATTCTTTCCTAAGTGCTTTTGCATCTTCATAGCAGCCCGTGATGGGCAGAGCTCATTACTCCCGTCTTCTGGATGGGGCTCTCGAAGGCAAGTGATCACCCTAAGTGTGAATGGACGAAGATCCTGACCTAGGAGGCAGGTGCCCTTCCTGGTAGCTTGGGGTCCTGTCTATTTCATCACAGACTGAGAATCTATGGGAAGGCTCAGAGGAGGCAGCCTGGAAATGAAATGTCTTTTCGTTTTTTTTCAAACTAGTTCTTTCTCAGAAACCTTTTATCCTAAGGCTCAGGACTGTGAGCAACCACTGGGGAGGCCCTGGGTTTAACAATTTCCTTTCCGTGTCCACCAGGCTCCAGCCCATCTGGGAGAGGCTTCCTCTGAGGTTCACCCCTCCCCTGTGTCTTCGTCTCCTTTCTCTGTGTCTCAGAAAGGCTGTCATACCAGGAAGTTCAGTGGGCAAGTGCTCAAGGAAGGGAGAGAAGCAGATAAGGATACCAGAGGCGAGCTAAAGTGTTTTTAATTTAAATTCTCCTCCTCCTCAGCCTCCGGAACCTGAAGGTGGCTGCTTGAACCTTTGGATGCAAATGTCGATGCTTAAGAAAACCGGCCACTTCAGCAACAGCCCTTTCCCCAGGAGAAGCCAAGAACTTGTGTGTCCCCCGCCCTCCTATCCCCTCTAACACCATTCCTCCACCTGATGATGCAACTAACACTTGCCTCCCCTCTGCAGCCTGCGGTCCTGCCCACCTCCTGTGATGTGTCTGTGTGTATGTGTGTGAGTGTGTGTGTTTGCTGACTGGTCTTCGTGGCTACTTGTTCGTGGACGGTATTGTGTTTGTTAGTGAACTGTGGACTTGCTTTCCCGGGCAGGGGCTGAGCCACATGGCCATCTGCTCCTCCCTGCCCCCGTAGCCCTCCATCACCTCCTGCTTCTAGGAGGCTGCTTGTTCCCTGAGACCAGCCCCCTCCTCTGATTTAGGGATGCATAGGGTAAGAGCACGGGCAGTGGTCTTCAATTGTCTTGGGACCTGGGAAGGTTTGCAGCACTTTGTCATCATTCTTCATGGACTCCTTTCACTCATTTAACAGAAACCTTGCTTCCTTATCCCACCTGACCCCAGTCTGAAGGTCTCTTAGCAATTGGAGATACAAAGCAAGGAGCTGGTGAGCCCAGCGTTGACTTCAGGCAGGCTATGTCCTTCCATGGTCAATTTCTTCCCTGGGGCTTCCATTAGGAGTCCCCATCTGCCCCGCCCCTTCACAGAGCCCCCAGAGATTCCAGGCCCAGGGCTTCTACTCTGCCCCTGGGGAATGTGTCCCCTGCATATCTTCTCAGCAATAACCCCAAGGGCTCTGGGACCCTACCCCTTCCAACCTTCCCTGCTTCTGAGACTTCAGTCTACAGCTCAGCTCAGCTCAGTTCATCCAGACGCAGACTCCAGTCCCTGCCGTTGGGTCTCTGGCAGGCAATAGCTGAAGGACTCCTGTTCCGTTGGGGCCAGCACATTGGGATGGGTGGAGGGAGAGTAGAGGCCTTTGCTTCTATGCCCACGTCCCCTTAGATGGGCAGCAGAGGCAACTCGCGCATCCTTCGCTCTGCCTGTCGGCAGTCAGAGCGGCGAGCGAGGTGGGTTGGAGACTCGGCAGGCTCCGTGCAGCCCTTGGGAACAGTGAGAGGTTGAAGATCATAACAAGAGTGGGAACTCAACCCAGATCTCGCCCCTCCTGTCCTCTCTGTTCCCGTGGAAACCAACCAAACTGTGCGCTGTGACCCATTGCTGTTCTCTGTATCGTGATCTATCCGCTCAACAACGACAGAAAAAAGGAATAAAATATCCTTTATTTCCTAGTGGCTCAGAGGTGCTTTCCTTTCTGTGAAAGAACTTGAGTGTTTGTAGGGCCTGTGGAACTTAAAGGGCCAGAGGGAGTCTGTCCGTGGTCAGAGGGAGGAAGCAAGGACTGGAGAGCCAGCCAGGCAGGCACAGAGCCCTTCAGCGGCTGTCACTGTTGCCTCCTCCTCGCTTCTCTTCCCTCCCTTTCCTTTTCTTCCTTCACTTTCCTCCTCTCCTGCTCAACCCTTCCTCCCCGCACCTTCCCACCCTTTCTCTTCCTCCCTCCCTCTCTCCCACCTTCCCAGGCCACTGGGCTCAAGCCACATCCCATAGCAGGACCTGTACATTGCACACCATCTTGGAGCAAAAAAGGGAGTCACAATGGCTTCTCCAAGTACTCAGTGGCCTGGAGTAAAACATCCTAACATTTCTCTTTGGTCAGTTCTGGGGCCACTACCTAAGGACTTGAAAAGGAAGCCAGGGGTGGTGACTCACACCTGTAATTCCAGCAACTTGAGAGCCTGAAGCAGGAGCATTGCTTGAGGCCAGGAGTTCAAGACCAGCTGTGCAACATGGTGAAATCTTAGCTGGGCATGGTGGCGCACACCTGTGGTCACAGCTACTCGGCAGGCTGAGGCCGGAGGATTGCCTGAGCCCTGGAGTTCCAGGCTGCAGTGAACCATGATTGCACCACTGCACTCCAGCCTAGGCAACAGAATGAGACCTTGTCTCTAAAAAGAAAAAAGGAAGGAAGGGATCAAGGGAGTGACAGGGTGAGTGACGTGCATTATGAAATACTCCTTCCTCTATGGAGCCTTCCTGGGTGTTAGGTAGAATTGAATCCCTTCTCTTTTTTTTTTTTTTTTTTTTTTTTGAGACGGAGTTTTGCTTTTGTCACCCAGGCTAGAGTACAGTGGTGTGGTTTCGGCTCACTGCAACCTCTGCCTTCTGGGTTCAAGAGATTCTCCTGCCTCAGCCTCCTGAGCAGCTGGGATTACAGGTGCCCTCCACCGCACCCAGCTAATTTTTATATTTTTAGTAGAGATGGGGTTTCATCGTGTTGGCCAGGCTGGTCTCGAACTCTTAGCCTCAAGTGATCCACCTGCCTCGGCCTCCCAAAGTGTTGGGATTACAAGCGTGAGCCACCACACCCAGCTGAATCCCTTTCTTGTGCCCCAATCACACTTGTTTGCTGCCTTTATATTCACACTTCGTACTTGGCATTCAGACTGTGGAGACCAGGCAGGTAATGCCAATATGTGAATATGCTGGGGAGACGATGGGGCATGGTGCCTGCAGTCACCTACAGTGTCCTTCCAAAGACATTCGGACTCAACTTTCTAAAAAGCACTGTTGGCTGAACAAACACAGATGCGGGCAGATTCTGCATGGAGGTTGCCCGTATGCAGCTTCTGCCTCTAGTGTTTTGTGTCTTTATTGATACAAGTCCTGGAGGGCAAGGACTGTGCCTGCTCTACAGAAGCGTGGAACATCTTGGTGTCTCAAAAAAAGAATCAACCCCTGGAACGTCTTAATATCTTCCATCTTGAAGCCAGCACTTAAGGAGTGGAACCCTCTGGGCCCACCTCCTTCCAGCCCCACCTTCTAAGACCCCAGTGAACCTGGCACCTGAAGCTATAGCAGGAGACAGAAGTCAGTGCTCCTTGGGGTTTTGATGGGCCTAGGAACCACCACCTTCCCTGCCCAGTGGCCACACAGGCCCTGAGTCCGCCTGGATTCTGCAAGTTGTTTAGAACCGAAGAACTGCACAGATCCGCTTGCTCAGTGCCTTCTCTACGTGTGCTCTTGCTTCTGCCTTCGGTCCCCCAGGCCTTTGGAAAGACTCAGGCTTATGGTGGAGCTCAAGCTCAACCTGTCAACCCAGTGATCATGGTGATTAAAAAATATCTGGTCACAGCTAGACCTGGTAAATGAGCTTATTGTTCAGGAACACTCGTGATACATCAGGGAATTGGCAGGCCTTGCAGCAATTTCAGAGCAAGGCCAGACTGAGACCCTTAGAGGCCCCAGGCATGCAAAGCACTGTGTGTGCTACCCCCATACATTGTTAAAAACAGAACATTACACTTCAGCATAGGAATAAGGAAGTCCAAGGAGGGGGTTCTCATTTTTCTCATAATAATTAAGAGTAAGGAATGATGGTCAGCATCTCTAGCACATCATCTACAAATGGTTCTCCTTACTTTGCCAGCCTCTAAGCACTCACTTAGTTTTCCTCCTGGTAATCCAGCTGTGTTCTGAGATCGGTCAGAGGTAAAATAGTGGCTGGTCCAGTTGGGGGTGGAGGAGCTAGGACTTGACCCCAGGCTGTGTGTCCACAGCGCTTGACAGCACATGGCCTCGTCTCCTTCAGAAAGCAGATGCTTGGATGAAGGGACAGTGATCAGATGGCTCCCAAGACTGCACCTGGAGCATGGCTGTCCCTTCAAGACGAACTAGCTGGACCGTGCTCCAAGAAGCCTCCTGTGGGAGTTGAATGGTCTGGAAACAAGACACATGAAGAACAATCGAAGAAATGATGGTCAAAATAGTAATAATTAAAAAAAAAAAAAAAAACAAGAGCAGCTGACATTTATGGAACACTTACTATGTGTTTGTCTGGGGACTTCACACAGATCAACTGGATCAGAGCTCAGAGTGCTATACATCTCCGTGAGGAGGACCAGGAGTGTCCACTCAGCCTCCAGGCATGTGGCACTGGTTTGTAGCTGTGATTTGGTTTAATGAGGCAAATGTAGCTTGACTGTATAGGAAGGACAGCTGCCATGCTGTGTCATTTCCCAGAAGGGAATCCCGAGTTCCCTGGTCTCAGTGACCTCAGCTGTCCCGCACGTTTTGCCTCCCAGTGACTCCCTCCACCCCCCGCCCCCCACCATTCCATTTCGAAGACCTCCATGTCTCTGCATGGAGGTTTTTGCGTTACTTACCCCTACAGTAGGAATAGGTGTCAGCAGTCTGCCTTCTGGGACCCCAGGTGCTGTGGCCCTCCTACCTCTCTGGGTTTTTTTTTTTTTTTCAAGATGTAGATTAGAACTTGTCCATTCGTTCTTGGAAGAGAGTCAGAGGCAGAGTGCAAGCTGTAGGGAGCAGTGTGAGGGGAGTGCCAGGCGAAGCGCACTCCAAGGTCACCGGACTGTTGGCCCCTTCCTCTGGGAGGAGGGCCTTACCCTGCCTGGAATCATGGGCTTGGCGGGGTGGCTGGGCAAAGCAGGGGTGGGAGAGCACTCCAGCTCTGTCTGGTTCACCCCACCTTGCTCCTGGCTGCTCTGCCTCACCCTGGGCCCAGCGAGAGAAAGGTCAGGTGTGTTTGCCTGAGCCAGGGGAGGAGTTTTGGGAAAACCTGTCTCCAGGCCACAGAGAAGGAATGGCCACCTCTCTCCATTAGTATGATTCATTGCTGTCACAGCTGAGCTCCAGAGGGGCAGACTCAGCCGGCCCAAGCCAACCAGCTGTTGATTTGATGGGGCCAGCCCAGCCCCGGGCCTGGTTGCACAACAGTGGAGCACCTGCCAAGGCAATGATGGCAGAGCAGGTGATGCTGTGATCACATGTCCTGAAGGACCTGGGTGGCAGGGACTGGTGGGGAGGGGCCCCCCTGCACTGTCCAGAAGAACAGATTCCTACCTCTGAGCCAGGCTTGGAGGAAGTCTGGTGGAGCCTGAGGCTCAGAACATCCCCGAGGTCCCCTCTGCTCTAACTGTGTGAGCTTGGAAAGACCCCAGCCTCTTTGTCAGTTTCCTTTTCTGAATAATCAAGTCCTTCCTAGCTTTGGGGTAAGCTGGGCCTCCTGCTAGCTGTGTAACCCTGGAAAAGCCACTTAAGCTTCAGTTTCATCACCTATAAAATAAATGCATCAAAATCTTTTCTGTTATCTCACAGGGTCAAAGTGATACAATGGACATCGAAGCTCCGTGACAATTCTCCATGTAGCTATTATGCTATTAATGTTGACATTACTATCCGTTTCCTTGTCTCCTCATTCTCTGATGGCCGGGTTCCTCTTGTCTCTGTTAGACTTGGGTTCACTTTCTGACCTGTTTGCAGACCACCTGCGGTGTCCTCTGTAAGATGGGCATCGCACAGCCTGCCTGGCTGAATTGTTGGGAGGCTCTAAGCAGCAATTTGGAACCATCGAGACCCTGGAATAGGTGGAATTGCTGCCAAGTGTGGAGAGTGAGCACGAGGCTCAGTGCAGATACAAACATTTAACAGCTTACCCGACCTGAGGCCTCAAGGAGGCCAGGGACTTGGCAATCTGTGCTATAAATGAAGAGAATGGTGACACAGCCACATGCCAGCCATTCAAGCCATGTCAGTGGCATCCGGAAGGTCGTGGAGGGAAGGAAAGAGTAGCCAGGGGTGGGCTTGCTCCGCGAGGTCTTCCCGGAGGCGGCGAGCCTCAAGCTGCTTTTCAGAGGTGAGGGGGAGTTTGGTTACCAGAAGGAGAAAACTAAGAAAAGCTGGAAAGAAATGGGCTCTGTGGTAGTTCAAGCCTGGACATGAGTTCTGAGAACAGTCAAGAATGCATTTCTCTCCAGGGTATTCACTGTGGGAGAGGTGGGTCAAATGGGTTTGCCCTTGTCACCAGCTGGTGACCTTGACTCTTAGAGTACATTGCCCTTTGGCAGTTCTCAGAACCTCTGTGCACCATGGCTCAGGCCATCTTGAAGCCAACACTTAAGGAATGGACCCTCTGGGGCCCACCTCCTTCCAGCCCTGCCTTATAAGACCCCCGTGACCTGGCACCTGCAACCACAGCAGGAGACAGGAGCCAGCGTTCCTCAGGATTCAGGACTTCTGAGTTGCATGAATGGGGCCTGGGAACCGCCGCTTTCCCTGCCCAGTGGCCACACGGGTTATGCAGCTGAGGACTGACTTGGGCCGGGGGTCATGGCTTCCTAGGCCTTCTGGCTTCTGCTTCATTGCAGCCCTTTCCAGCTGCAAGTCAACACCAGGAGGAACTGATTTGGGGACCTGGAGTTCAAGGCTGTAAACTCCCACAAAGGCCAGAGCCGGCGGAGCTGGAGAGCCCCATTTTGGGAAGCTGGTGGTGAGGGCCTCTGCCTTTGATCGCCAGGGAGACAGAGGTCAGCTGAATTCCAGCCTATTTCCTCCCTGCCCCACCAACCCCGCAATGACCACCCCAAATGACTGCCTTGAGATTTAGGAGTCAGGAGACAAAAGGGAGGCCTGCTTGGTGGAGACAGGGGAGACGGAGGCCTCGCCACTGAGGGCACTGTCTCATCAGCTGTGACAGTGCTGACGCATCCAGGAGTGGGCGCTGCCTCTCCTTACCTCCCAGCATCTCCCAGAGCTCTGGGTCTTGGAGAAAACAGGAGAGCACAGCTGGATGCTCCTTTGTCTCCAGCCTGGAACCATCAGACAAAGGAGGTTGCTTGGTTTTGTGTGGAGACGAAAGGGAGGCTGGAGATGCAGGGTGAGTGGTGGCCAGCAGGGATCATGCCAGGGCAGGGTGCTCCCAGGAGCCTACTTTAGAGATCACTCCAACTGGGGACTGAGCCAAGGGAAGGGATTGCCGTGAGTGTTCTTGTCTCCTGGGGGGACCAGTTCAGAGTAAGGAAAACACAGCCATCATTTTTTAGGACCTTCTCTGGCCAAACGCTCGACCTACCTTGTCTCTGTTCCCACAACAATCCTGCAAGGTAGGTGTTATTACCCCATTTTCCAGGTGGAGAAGATCCAGAGGGGTGCCCTTGCCCAGGGTCAGGCAGTCCTCAGCAAAGTCTCAGGATGAAAGGGGATTTATGTATGGGTGTGTCTGGCCCTCAGGGTGCCTTGCATGGAGATGTCTACGAGGAGAGACCTTCCTGAGCTGAGCTGCTCTCAGGAACATGGGCCACAGGTGGAAGGGCCTCGACCTCTCTGCAGGAGAGCAGGTGTCTCAGAGAGGGGCTCCCTGTCCCAGTGCCAGCTAGGACCCATGACCTGAGCTAGCTGGGGGAGGACAGGAAGGAAGTCTGAGAAGGACTTAAACGTGAGTGAAGCGAGAGGGGTGGGACCTGCTTGACTTAACAAATGCCTGGGTTTCCCCCAAAGAACAAATAGGACAATTTCTGAAAATTGTTGCAGGACTGGAGAAGGAAGGGGAGGTTAAGGGAGAGGAGAGGGGGTGGGGATGGGGTGCAAGAGGAGTGAGAGAGAACCCTCTGAGAGGGACTCTGGGGGAGCTGTCAGCAAGGTGGGGGTTGCTGCCTCTGTGAGGGCAAATCGGGTCTTGTGACTCCTCACAGGACAGGCGACAGCATGGAAGGAGGCTGCCTGAGAAAAGTCCTGCGTCTGCCTGCAGCACGGGAGAAATGATTTCACCTCTGTCCTGTCCCCATTTTTGCCTGATTTTTGCCTGGGACTGATTCATTCACTTTATAAAACTGGGTCCCATGATGTGCTGTTCCAGGCATGGGGGAATGAAGAAACAAACAAAAATCCTTGCTCTTCTGGTGCTTAGATTTTAGTTGGGAGAGGGACAAACAAGATAAGGGAAACACATACCTTAGGTAAGAACAAGTGCCACAGAGGAAAAGCCAGGCTGAGGCGGTGGGTGTGAACATTTTTATACAGAGATGCCCAGAATCGGGGCTTTGGAGAAAGCCCTGAAGCCAGTGTGCACTGAGCAGCAAGCCCTGTGGAGGCTGAGCATATAGGAAGTGGGAACCGCCCGTGCAGAGGTCCTGGAGGGTGAGGGGTGTCAAGAAGGCTGGCATGGCTGGAGCAGAGAGCAGGGCGGGGAGGTCGGGGACCAGCTCAGAGGTGCCTGGAGCCAGATTAAGAAAGGCTTTTTGGCCGGGTGTGGTGGCTTACGCCTGTGGGGGACCACCTGAGGTCAGGAGTACAAGACCAGCCAACATGGCGAAACCTGGTCTCTACTAAAAATAAAAAATACAAAAATACAAAAATTACTGGGCTTGGTGGCGGCTCCTGTAATCCCAGCTACTTGGGAGGCTGAGGCAGAAGAATCGCTTGAACCCGGAAGGCAGAGGTTGCAGCCAACTGAGATCACGCCGTTGCACTCAAGCCTGGGCAACAAGAGCGAAACTCCATCTGAAAAAAAAAAGAAAGAAAAAAAAAGAAGGGCTTCTTTCTGGACACAGACAGATTTTGGCGTATCATCTGAGCCCTCCCTGAGGATTTTGAGCAGGAGAGGGAGCCACTTGTAAAGGGAGGGGTTTGGATGGGATGGCCTTGGTGTCCTTTCTAGTCGGGCCATCAATCACACAGGCTCTGAGATAGAGATGCCTTCCTTCGCAACACTGGGGGCGGGCAGGGAACGGAGTGTGTACTGGCAGGGTGGGTGGGGGGGATTTGCTGAGACCTCCACTTTTCCGAACCACTTAGAATATGTTTGGACCAGGTACCTCTAAGTCTTACCCAGCCTCGAGGTTTGTAAACTTCTCTATCCCCAGCTCGGGGAATTTCCACTCGGCTGCTCTGGGCTGAGTGGGCAGGTTTCCACTTGGGAGCATGGGACAGGCCCGCCTGCCAGCCGAGCTCTTACCTACCCCAGGGCAGGGCTGGCCCTGCCTCCAGGGTGGTCTGGAGGGAAAGGTGCAGAGAGCCTGGAGTCAGGGCTGTGCTCAGGGACCCCAGTGCCGATCTCAGCCCATCCGGTAAGAAATAGCACCTCTCTAGACCTCCTGGTCTCCATTTCAGCCCTGTGAGGGCTCCCTGGGATGTCATGAGTCCTCCCCTCAGGACAGGGAGTGTTGCAAAGGAGGGACAGAGAGGCAGGAGTCACAGTGACCAGAGCCCGGTCAGAGGCTGGGGCCAGAGCCAGCCCCTCCCAACCCTGCTTCTCTGTGTCCGCGTTGGGGTGGCCGTGCCAGGGCGGCCACAGGAACCTAAGGGAGACCCTGTGGTCCCAAGTCAGCTACACAGAGACTGCTCACTGCAGCTTAGCTGTGGGCAAGGCCTTGGTGGCCGAGGAACAGCGACTGCCTGGGCAGCGTAGTGGGCTTCCCTGCGTGGTGGGACACCCTGCCTAGTGGGCTGCTGTGCCTGGTGGGGCTCCCTGCGGCTCCCTGCTGGCTCCTGGATCTGACCCTGCCCTAGGCCTAGCAGTGTTGTCTTCTGGCCATTCCCCTCTGATACCAACCAGCAGCCCCCAGAGCCTCATTAGGCTGCTGGTGTCTCCAGCTGAGCCCTCTGAGGTGTGAGAGGTGGGCCTGACATCACAGCTGGGGTGAGTCACTGCGGGCTGAGCGAGCCACTGCGGGCTGAGTGAGGGGTCTCAGCTGCGGAAAGGGCAGGCCACAGGAGCAGCCCCCATCACAGCTCCGGCTCCCAGCCCCACAGCTGCTCCCCGTTCTCTGCCAACGACCAGAACGACACAGGAAGCTGGGACCGGTGCCTTAGGTCCCAGGACAGGGTCCTGGAAACCATTCCCACTCCCCCGAGAGGCTGCAGCTGGGCCTCCCAGTCTCAGGGGACGCCTAGCTATAGACTGGGTCTTGGGCAGGATACGTCCAGGCAACGGCCCAGCTGGGCTGGAGGACGGAGGTGCAGCGGAGTAACGTTCAGGGGACCCATCCAATGCCCCTGAAGGTCTCCCTCAGCTGCCACCAGCCCAGGGACCTGGGGAAGACTGGGTTCCTTGATTCCTCCTGGCTCCTGTACCCTTTTCGGGCACCCTGGGCTGGCTGCGGCATGGAGCCTCTCGAGGGAGAGGGCCAGGGCTGGGGCTGTGGTTGGCTCTGCTGCATCTGACGGCCTCTCCATCTCCAGGTGCCAGGTGGAGGTCAGAGAATCTCCCCTGGCTTTCACGTGGATCCCTTGCCCCAACCTGCCCTAGCAAGTGGGCACGAGGTAAGGGCTCCCTTGCCAGCCCCTCCTCCCTGCCTGTGTCTCTTCCTGTTTGTGGGCTCACCTGAGGTGCGAAGGGAGGGAGTGCCACTCTCCATCCAGGCCCCGGGCAAGCGGCACCTCCCTGCTCTCCTGCACTCCTGGAGACAGCCAGCAGCTCCTGCTATGGACAGGTGGTACCTGGGTGAGTCCTCTGAACCCCATTCCTCCTCCTGCTCAGGCTCTGACACAGGTGCCAGCCCCGTCCCTTTCAAGTGCACCCACAAGCTCCCCAGAAGGGCAGGAAAGGCAGAAGGGAAGAGAGGCAGAACGTCCAAAAGAGAGCATCTCCGTATGGAGTCGCGGGCCTGCTGTGAAACGTGGCAGAGCATCTCTGAGCTGCGAGGGCAGGGAAGGCAGCTTGTCCAACCACCTCATTTACTTGTCTGTCCATCCGTCCTTCAGAGATGCAGGAACTCAGAAGCCAGACTGCTGGCTTCAAATCTTGGTTCCCCTACTTTCTGGCCATCTGACCTCAGACAAGTTATTTAACTTTTCTGGCCCTCAGTTTCTTCCTCTATGAAATGGGGTGATAATAATGCCTTCCTTACCTTGTAAGAGTCATTGTGATGACTAAAGAATTAATTTCTGGCCAGGTGCAGTGGCTCATGCCTATAATCCCAGCACTTTGGGAAGCCAAGGTGGGTGGATCATCTGAAGTCAGGAGTTCGAGACCAGCCTGACCAACATGGTGAAACCCCGTCTCTACTAAAAATACAAAATTAGCTGGGCATGGTGGCGCATGCCTGTAATCCCAGCTACTCAGGAGACTGAGGCAGGAGAGTCACTTGAACCAGGGAGGCAGAGGTTGCAGTGAGTCAAGATCATGCCATTGCACTCCAGCCTGGGCGACAATAGCGAAACTCCGTCTCAAAAAAAAAAAAAAATTAATTTCTGTGAAGTGTTTGAAACAGTGCCTTTCACACAGAGTTTAAAAATGCAACTAGCTTTCAACTATTGTTTCCTATTCATCTATCTATTGATCAATCTATCATCCGTATCTATCTATCTATCGATCTATCTATCTATCCATCTATCCGTCTATAGGTGCCTCCCCAGGCACCTCCTCCCCCTGCAGCGGGAGCCCTTCCATCCACACTGCAGCTCTGCTTGTGACCAGGGTAAATATTACCTGGCACTGTTAATGTTTAATGCCCCCGCCTCATCCCCGGCCACCCCGCTGAGGAGCAAAGACAGCAGGAAGAGGCAAGAGGAGACAGTCCATTTGGAAATGACTGGGTTGTCAATAGATAGATAGATAGATAGATAGATAGATAGATAGATAGATAGACAGATGAATTTATTTAACTTCCCACTTATTTTTACACTCTTATTATTCCTGAAAGAATCCACGGAGGCTTACAAACATAGACAAAACCCAGTAAGATGACACAATCCTGCATAGTAAAGGGAGCACCTTGTCTTGTGTGGAGACGGCAGTAGCTTTGGTAGCACACCTTTGAGGGTCTGGGCTTTCTACCTCCGGTTTGCCATTAACTGTGTGTTTCAGGCAAGTCCCTTCACCTTCCTGCCCTCGGTTTTTCTGGTGTACCCAGTGGGGATCATGACACTGCCCTGGCCACCTCCAGGGACTATTGTGGAAAGCAAAGGAGCAGCCTCAGTTTCTTTATCTGTAAAACGGCGCTAGCAGGAACTAAGTGATGCAGTGCATGCCAAGAACCTGGCGCATGGCCCATCTTCCCCAAACGCTGGCTCTGCTGGGATGTTTGCACAAATATATATTCCTTGGCTCTGGAAGAAGAAGGAAGCTGCACACCTGATCCTCAGGGCCATGACATTCCCTCCAGCTCACTCATTCGTGCCCACTTTCACTGGAGAGTGGCTGGCTTTTCCATGTCCCACAGCAAACATTTGCCAAAAGCTAATGCCTGTTATTTCTTCAATCAGCACACATATACCAGTAACAATGATGCCACTCACTGTGTGCCAGGCCCCGGGATACACTCTTTGCATGCATTATCGCACTTCCCCTCACAACCACCTTAGGAGCTGGGTACTGTGCCCATTTTACAGATGGGGAGACTGAGGCACAGAGAGGTGAAGTAATTGACTGAGACCATATTATTAGCAAGTGAGAGGGCCAGGGTGTGAACTCAAGTGCCAAGCCCTGCCCCTGGTTGGGGAGGATTCATAGATAGAGTGGCTCCCTTCAGGAGGGCTCAAGCACCCCTGGTGGCTGCTGGCCTCTGACCTTGGCTGTTTGGTGGGCATTGGGCTTCAGCCTCTTCTGGAGGCCAATTCAATGGACTAGAACTTAACGAGGATTCCACAGTACCCACGACTACCCAGCACAGGAGTCCCGGGGTGAAGGAGGTCACAGTGGAGTCGGGAGGCTGCCTGCGAGGTGTGGAAAGCAGCTGCCTCCTGCAGCAGGAGGCCTGACTGTCATTCTCCACTTCCCCCACACTGGCTGTGTGACCCTGGGCGAGGCCCCCACCTCTCTGTGCCTTAGACACCTGCCTCATCAGTAAAACGGGAAACATAAAGCTTAAGGAGATAACAATGAGGAAAGTGCTTGGTAAACCATAAAAGCAGGGGATTCTCCCTGCGATGAAAGTCTTGCCCCGTCCTTAAGGATCCTGCATGCGCCATGGTAAACTGGCAAGGAAACAATCCAAGAGCCAGGCCAAATGGTGGTAGGAGGAAGTACTGGGGCGGCAGGGAAGGAGAAATTAGTTGGGGATGACTGGGGCCCTTCCGACTGAGGTGTGACCTGCAGGGTGCACGTTGATGGATGAATAGGAAGACAGATGAAGCACCCTTCTGGAGGATCTACTGCTGGTGGGCTTTGGGGGTGCTCCAGGGATGTGGTGGGGGAGCAGTGGGCCAGGCTTCTAGGGACCACTGCAGGAAAGCCTCCAGCGCCACATAAGGAACAGCAGCTGCAGCGGTGGCATCCATGGTGGCTGGTGCGGTGGGCCCTGCCTGGGCTGGGGGCCGTGTGGGACCCCTGACACTGCCCCCGGAAGCTCCCAAGTACAGTGTACACTGAAGAGATTGTACAACTTCCACTTTCCTGTTCCCACCGCCCCAGCTGTGGCTTCCCCAGCTGGCAGAACAGCACCACTGATGACCCATCCCAGCCCTTCTCTTTGGAAATTTCCTTTGGGAGGGTTTAGAAACTCAGCCAGCTCCTCCCTGCCCCTGCCTCCCCACGCGCCTCCTCACCCTGCCGCAGGAGCCCCTCCATCCACACTGCCGCTTTTCTTGTGACCAGGGTAAATATTACCTGGCACTGTTAATGTTTAATGCCCCCGCCTCGTCCCCGGCCACCCCGCGGAGGCAGCCAGACACTCTCCAAAAAGCAGAGACAGCAGGAAGAAGGGAGTGGAGACAGCCCATTCAGCTGGGGAAATGACTGGGTTGTCGATGGACGGTGGTGAGTGTGCTGGTGTGTGTGCCCGGGCGTGTGTGAGGCTGGGTGGCTCTGACTGGCCTGCCTTTGCAGGGTCAGCTGGACTCTACCCTTCCCTCTTCTGCCACCTCAGCCTTCCAGAGTACCCAGCCCCTCTTCCTGTCGGCCTCCTCTCTAAGAAAATTTGCAACTTAAAAGAGAACCCTGCTTTAACCCCAAAGAAAGATAACTTGAGTGGCAGAACGGCAGCAGATAGAAGATGGAGAGCTGAGCGTCCCCCCTCAGCCTCCTGGCACACACCCGCCCTGAGTTCAATGCATCTTGCTAGACCATCTGAACTTGGGCAGGAGGCAGACGGGGTCCATCTGGCTGGGGAAGGAGCAGGACCCTCTGGTCAGCCTTCCTAGGCTGGATTTGGGGTGAGAGCCCCCCAAGTTCAAGTCACACACCTCAAAGGCTTCCTGTCACAGGAACTGACTCAGGCCTGGAAACCAAGAGGGGCACTTGCTGACAGAGGTGGGTTTTGAGCCAGATGCAGAAAGGGGAGGGTGCTGGGCTGAGAGGGTCTCGGCAAGTGATTCAGGGCCAGGTGACCATGGAGGAGGAGGTTTCCTAGGGTGTGTGGGGAAGCCTTGACTTGGGTCTAGCTGTAGCTCTGACACTTTAATCCACGTATAATCTTGAACAAGGCCTGAACCTAATCTGTAATGACAGCGCAGACGCTGGGTCCCTCATGGTCTCCCTGAGCACCCAGCACCTCAGGCCCGTCAGGATGGGCACTGACTCTTCCTGGCCTGTCCTTTCCTGGCCCAGGGACTGGCTGCTGGGGACAGCTGGGCTTGCCAGACCCTGAGTCTCACCACTGCCCAGGGGCACAGTTTGCCACAGCCTGGAAGGCGCTGACTTGTGCATTCCTTCCTCCTGGGCTCTACTTCCCTGGTACAAGAAGGGGCTCCAGCAGGGCAAGAAAGAGTAGTGGCCCTCAGCTGTGGCAGAAGCGTCCCGGCCAGGCCACCTTCTGGCCTGTGCGGGGTAAGTGTACTCGGTTGCAGGGCACCACTGTGAGACCTGCCTGCTGAGCAGCTCCAAATCCGGGGGAGGCCACTGGAGGCAGGGGCAGGAACTTGCCTCTGATGGGCTCCTTCCCTCCTGCCATTGAGAAGCGGCAGAGCAAAGGGCTTATGCACCTCCATTCTCAGCCCCCTGCTGCCTGGGTTCAAACCCCAGCTCGACTCCTGACTTGCTCTATAACTGTGGGGGAATTACTTCTCTGTACTTCCATCCTCTTGTGGATTACACCAGAATGACTTTGACGTCCCATAAGGTTGCCATAATGGTTAGATGAGTTAGGCTCTTGTTAGCTTTTGCCCGGTGCCTGACCAGCACTATATATTAATGTTTCTTAACTAGATCTGCTTCCCCTGAGGATGGTAACGTAGGACAGGAGGTCCGTCTCAGCTATCGTTAGGACTTTGGACAAGTCTACACATTGGGCTCAGCTTCCTCCTTCTGTCTGATAAACTTTAAGGTTCTGTTTTATTTATTCATGCATTTCACAAATACCTGCTAAGCACCTGATAGCCAAATGGTCCTGTGGAGAGAGGCCTCTGGGAGTCTAATGGGAGAGGCCTCTCCTGGCCTTTTCTACCACGGTAGGAATCAAGGAGCAGGAGATCGTCTCCCTTCCGGAGTGGTCAGAGGCCCCCCAGACAGCACAGATCCCCCTCTGACACTCGGTATCTGGGCCCCAGTTGATTGTGTCTGAAGCCACCTAGAGCAGAAGCCTGCTGGCAATGGTTTTAGCAACACTCCGTTCCCAGCCTCCCCTCGCCCGCTTGGACCCTTGGGGGTCCTCTGGGAAGGGAAGGACAGGGAATTCCAGCTGTTCCTGTGGCTGGCCCACCATTGGTGACTCCTCTCATCCCACCTCTGGCTCTCTCCCAGGCGGCAGCCCCAAAGGGGATGTGGACCCATTCTACTATGGTAAGCCTGGGCCCCTGTTCACCCTTCCTGAGCCCTCAGGACCCCTCCCACCAAGCAGCGGCCTCTCCCAGTCCCAGGTCCATGCTCTGTGCCCCTTATCTCCCCTCGTGACCACGGGCTGCTGCGGGCGGGCTGCGGGGAGAGATGGCTGCTGGGAGAGACCACCCATCCCACTCTTCTTGCCCTCTCTTTCCCGAGACTATGAGACTGTCCGCAATGGGGGCCTGATCTTCGCCGGGCTGGCCTTCATCGTGGGACTCCTCATCCTCCTCAGTAAGTGGGGTGGCCTCCAGGGAAGGGGTGCCGGCCGGGGCACGTCTATTCTCAAAGCCGCTGAGCAGGCTGGCTTTCCGGAGTCCCCAAGGAAGGGGTGAGCCTCCCCACCACGCACAGCCCCTGCAGGATGTGGGAACAGGTGCCCGGTGGGGTGCCAGGCTCTGGGAGCACAGTGTAAGGTTCCCGCTTGCTCAAGTGCACCCTCCAGTGGGCCCGGAAGGAACCTTGGAGGTGAGAGTGAACCTGCGGGGTAACTGGAGGGCCAGGCAGGGGCACTAGGCCCCCCATTGCTAACCACGGTCCCAAACTCATCCGTTAAATAGGGATGATCCCACCTGCCTCACAAGAGGAGGGCTAGCATCCAAAGACACAGCAGTCAGGACAGCGCTCTAAGAATGGTCCAGTGAAGACTCGGAGTGTTCTGGGGGAGACAAGGAGACTTATGTATCCTCAAGCCCCGAGGGGCACACAGCAGGAGCTTAATAACTGCACATTGACTTGTTTTGGTCCAACCCAAAGAAAAACACACAGAAAACACAACCCATGGAAAGAAGATACAGGAAGCACACCTGTGGGCTCTGGAATTCCATGCACTTGTGCCACTGCACCCCACCCGAAGGCTTGGACACAGTCCTGTGGGTCTCCCCATTTTCCCGTGTTGCCCATGGCAGGTCCCGGAGGGCGGTGCGGGGTGGTAGCTGAGCACATAGGCACAGGAGGCAAGTGGCCTAAGCAAGGGGCTCTGCTTTGGACTTGCTGCCATCCTTCTCCAGGTGTTCATCGGGCAACTGTGCTGGGGGCACCATGATGGCCCAGTGTCTGCTGCTGCTCTCGATATGCCAACAGCCCACCATGGATCTGCTCCAGTAAACATTTGCTGACTGACTGACTTAGGTTCTTGAATGCCTGTGATTCAGCCTTACATAAAAAGAAAGAAGGCTGGGCACAGTGGCTCGTGCCTGTAATGCCGGCATATTAGGAGGCCAAGGCAAGAGGATCTCCTGAGACCAGGAGTTTAAGACCAGCCTGGTCAATACAGTGAGATCCAATCTATAAAAAAAGTTTTTTAAAAAAAATCAGCTGGGCATGGTGGCATGTGCCTATAGTCCCAACTACTTGGGAGGCTGAGGCAAGAGGATTGCTTGAGCCCAGGAGTTTGAGGCTGCAGTGAGCTATGCACCACTGCACTCCAGCCTGGGTGACAGAGTAAGACCCTGTCTCAAAAAATAAAATAAAATAAAATAAAATAAAATAAAATAAAATAAAATAAAATGGGACAGTCAAACGTGGCCTCCAAGACTGACCCTGCAGTCTTGACTGGCAGGAGGGAGGTAGGAGAGACTGGAAGAATTTTGAGTCTTCCAGGGTCTCCTTGGAAAACGAGTCCATGGAAACAAATCTTTTCTCTTTTCAAGGCAGAAGATTCCGCTGTGGGGCCAATAAGAAGCGCAGGTGAGCGCTGCCCGGGGTGACCGATGAGGGGCTCCAGGCTGGGGAAGAGGGGTGGGCTGAGGATTTTGTCTCTGCCACTGTGGAGGGGTCCCCAGCCTCAGGGATCCCTAGACCCACCCCTCCCCCGGTCCTCTCACCTGTTGCTTTTCCTTCCCCCACCAGGCAAATCACTGAAGATGAGCTGTAACAGCAGGTATGCTAGGAGGGCCCGGGGAAGGTGGCGGGAGGGGAGGGCAGGCTTGGGGGCAACCGTGAAGAATTCTGGCTCCTGGACTGGGTAGGGGAGAATTTTAGGGTCACCCACACATCAGCCAGGTGGTCTGTCACCTATCGTGTGTTTCAGATGATTGCCAAGGGCCTGGCGTGCAGTGTGTGCCACAGGAGATCACAGAGGAGCCCTGGAGAAAAGTGAGATGGACAAGGAGGAAATAAAACCCCAACCTCTGCTGCAACCTGCCCAGCCCCAACCTGCCTTTGTCTTCTCAGCCTCGGCAGTGCCACCCACTGCACAGGGGCCAGCTGGGAAGCCAGGCCCTGCCTCTGCTACCTCCCCTTCTTCCCTGGGCTGTAGACCTTTGTCCCCGTCACTGCCAGCGCTTGAGCAGAAGGAAGCTCCAGACTCAATGTGACCCCCAGGTGGTATCGCCACCTCCTGCCCCTTGCCACCTCATGCTCATAATAAAGTTAGCGTCACAGACCGCTGCTTCTCTCGCCTGCCTGCCTATCTGCCTCCTCTGTCACCACCAGCCTCTCCAAGTTCAAGTACAAATACAGCCGGGTCTCATTTGTTTTTTCAAGTAATTGCTCAGGCACCTGTCTGCCTGTAAAAGCAAGAAGTTCAGTGTTGTCATCTGTAGGCCACTCCTTGTACCCCCTGAACTGGCAGGAGCCCTGGGGACAGACGCCTCAGCCTGGCTTTTATGCACCTGGGATGTCTGAAAGGCCCAGGGGGTCAAAGCCACGGCCCTGTTGGATACCCACGAGGCCTCTGCCCCAGGCGCCAGGCGCTGCTGCTGGGATCCTGGAAGCAACCCTGCCTAGGAGTTGCTGTGGAGAGGCCCCAGGCTACCAAGGCGAGCCTGTGTGTGGTCACATTCCTGTGCTCTGCCATTTTCCACATGTACACCCCTGGGCCAGGGTGGGCGGGTCCAAGGGGCCTGCTGCTGGGCCTCCGCACATGTCCTGAAGGAGCCAGCCCTCTTCCTAGTCCCCTCCTGGTACTGAGCTCAGGCCACCTCTTTCCACTCTTGGGGCCACCTATTTGGAGGCTTGGTTAATTCCAGGGCCTGGGGCCAGGGAACAGATGGTGAGAGTGAGACCATCGACACACTTGCTCTAGTCCCCGTCCATGCAGGCAGGGACCCACTCAGGGCAGCCTGAGCCTGAGATGCTGCCAGGTCACTCTGCCCACCAGTGCCCAACTCCTAATGCCCATGCCCCCTTTGCTATGAGTCCAAGGCTGAGGTCATGGAGGGAGGCCTCTGGGAGCTTCTGCACCAGGAAGGAGCCCCCCTTTCCTCTCCTTCCCTTCACTCAGAGGCCTCTAAGGCTGGAGGGATTGTGGGATTCTGGCACCACCTAGCGTCTGGCTTCCTCATCTGGGCCTGCAAGCTTTTGAGGGAGGGGAGAGGAGAACTGGCAGGAGAATCAAGCTACTGGAGCAGGAAATGAACAGGGCATGTTTGGGGGCCAGAGGCAGGATGGATCCCACTCCACCTGGGAATTAAGCTCTTTGTCTTAATCCACTTCCCCCAGTCCCTGATAACCACCAACTCTCCTAAAAACACAGAAGGCTTGAGCAGGGAAGGGTCCTTAGAGAGCAAAACAGACCATCTTCAATTTACAGAAGGGGAAACTGAGGCTCCAAGAGAGGCCGTGGCTTGTCCAGAGTGACATGGCCAGCCTGAGTCAGAGCCAGAGGTAAAATTCAGGTCTCTGGCTCCCCTTCCAGAGCTCTTCCCATCACACGAACATCCAAAGGACGGGAAGTAGTTGGTGGGGCAGGGAGGTGGACTCCCCACTGACTGCCTGGGGGTTTGGAGAGTGAAGGGGAAACAGAGAAGGCCTGGGGTTGGGGGGAGAAACTCCAGAGGAGACCAGGAGCCACACAGAGGAAGGCCTGGTGACTTACAACTTAGCACCAAGTCCTTATGATACCCCACTCCAAATGTGGACTCATTGGTGTCAGCCAAGCCCTTAAACGGAATGCAGTTTTTCTATGCAGGAGATAGAGGCACACACTTGAGCTCTCCCTCGAGGTTGGGAGAAATGAACACGAATGGGGCAGGTCCAGCCAGGGGGACTTTCAGGAGGAGGGGGGCTCCCAAAGCCTCTTGGACGCAGCAGCAAGGCACAGAGGAAGAGGGATATTCCAGACCTGTGGCCCACATAAGAGCACTAGAGAAGAGTCAAGTTTCTAGAATGTTCCATACAGAGGACAATCCAGCCTGCCACCCTCAAAGGGAAATTTCACCTGCTCTGGATGAGTCACTTCCCTTCGCTGACCCTGCCTCAAGTCCTCCCTCCTTATGAAATGTGAGGCTTTATCAGGTCTGAACCTGAGGGGCTTTTCAAACCACCACGTACCCAGATTCCCCCAGCCTGGTTGAATATGAGGCTTGGGGGGTGGCCTCTGCAGGCCGAGGCTTAATGAGCCCCATGGCCCCAGGTGGCATTCAGAGGCCTGGGACTTGCTTCCTCGCCAGGACTCTTGTGAACATTTCCCTTCCCTCTCCAGAAAGGTCACGTGGGCTGGCAGTTACTGAACTTTCGCTTCACTTTGGGATTTTCCACAATTCAGACCTGCATTGAGTCACAAAGATGTACCAAGCCTGGGAAATGACTGGGTGAATTACTCTTAATCACACAACTCCGACCACGACAGCCTCCGTCTGAGGGCGCAATTCCCTTTCTGACCACCAGAGGGAGCATGTGGCTTGCGCCGAATCCCCTCCAATTGCGTGTTTTCAACTCAACCTTTCCAAGGGCCTTTGCCGGGAGGAGGGGCTCCTGAATGGCCCGTCTGGTGGCCTGATTTCCTAGGAAAGCCCTCAGCTCTTCTCATTCCGCTTGTTCACCCCCCCCAGGTACAGCACTTGCCCCACTCTGGGGTAATTCTTGGCTGTGGAGTCTTAAGTGCTCATTCCTTCCCAGAGGCAGAGACCCCACGTGATCTACATATCTTCCCCAAAGCCTGGGGAACGGCGAGCCTCTAACCCTGTAGTCTGAGTAAATCAACGACAGTAGGACATGGGGAGGGGCAGAGAAGTCAAGCAGGGACGTTTGTGGGGAGGGAGGGGAAAGAGGCTTTGCCTGAGTAGCTCTTCTCACCCCAGCTGCAGTGAGTCTGATTCAACTGATGGGACGTCGGTGGTGGTTCTGCCTCCCCAGGTGAACTCGAAGTGGAGCAAAAGGTGACAGTCACGGCTTAGTAGGTGAGCATGGCCAGGCGAGGGTGAGGGGAACGCAGGAGGTGGAGCAGGTGAGGGCCCAAGGGAAACTGGACTTGTTTCACGTTCTGGGGAGAGGACAGGTAGCTCTGCCCCGCCAGCCCCTGGGAGAGCAGTTCCAGAGCCCCCAGGCCCAGAGGTGCTGGCCTTGGGCAATGGGGTTGCAGGGTGTCTGCTAAGTCCGCTGAGTCCTGGCCTTCCTCACAGTACCCATGAACAGGAAGAGCTGGGCAGGAAGCCCAGGGAGGGCCAGGAGAATTAGCCTGTGAGCCAGCAGCCAGTCCCACCCCTATCCCTCGCTAAAGCGTCCACCGCCCAAACCCACCCAGCCTCTGCACAGCTCCAGAGAAAGAGCCCTGTGGGCATGGGGGCAGAAGGGCTTCTGCTGGGTTCTGGCAGGCCCTCCCTGACGGGGTGGCCTGGACTTCCCCATCAGAGGAAGTAGAGCCTCAGATAGGCCAGTCTCGAGCTCCTACAGGCTGATCTCCTGTCCAGGGTGAGGGTGCCCCTGGCATAGGCCTCCAGTTTTTCTAAATGCTTTGGGACATCAGGGGAAATCTCCACCCCGCCCCAGCAATTCTGAACTCTCTCTTGTACAGGGAGCAAGGAAGGGGTGCTCCAAAGAACGGAGCGTCTCCCCTGGTGCTGCCTCTGGTGAAGGAAGTGCGCTGCCTAGACAGACAGGGCTGGGAGTGGAGGGAGTGAGGGGTGTTGTGTGAAGAAAGGCGCAGGGCAGGGGGTGGTGTAGAGTCTCCTCCCAGGCTCTCCCGGCTTCAACCCTCCCTCTGCTCCGCACGGCAGGGGCTGCTGCGGGGAAGGTTAGTCGCCTCCCTGTTGATCCGTGGCCCCAGGCAGCTGAGCTCTGAACTGCAATTCAGCAAGGGCCTCTGGGGCGGGTAATCTGTGCCTCACCAAGCGCCCATTCTTCATTCCTCGCAGGCTGCCTGACAAATGCCTGGGCAGCGGAGATCAGAGGCAAATGCC